TCCCATGTGATTGACATTTTTCTTAGCATTCTTTCCACAACCTTGCATTAATTGACATTTGTTGCTTGATGATGATACTTTCCCTGTTACCTGCTCCATCTCCTTACTACCACTATTTATGAAACTAGCAGAGGGGAGGGTTGTGGAATGTAGGTAGGTAATCTCAAAAAGTTTTTCCCCAACCCTGAAAGATCTATATTTCTGTCGTCATTACTTAAAAACCTTTCTTTTGAAGTTTGTGTTGTACATCTGCATCACCTAATCCTATCATTTTCTCTATCCTCTTCATCTCTGGGACGTTTCCCCATCTTCCTTAGGACCTGCATTGCAAACCTTACCTTCATACCAACCCTTTCCATCTCTCTCAGTGACTTTGTTTTCCTTGTTACCGATTCTTGCAAAACTGTAGCTTCTCAGTCACAGCCTTTAACTTCAGTCATCTGAGAGTCACAGCTATAACTTGGACCCCACCTCTTGGGCATCTTAATTTTCTTTTCCCCTATTAAATATGTTCCCTGTCCTCATTGTAGATTCCTATCTCTATACCGCATCTCATTACTCAGGTCAATAAATCTCCCCCCGCCTTTATCTATCATGTTCCTTCACATGATTCACCAAGATTCCTTCACCCTCTTAACTTCTTAAAGAGTAGTCGTAATCATTGTTTCTGTTTTGTTCATCTCCCCTTATCCTATCAACACCTTAGAGGTTTTTGTCTCATTACTCTGAAGACACTGCTTTCATAATCCCTGAGGGTCTCTTCCTTTTCTCTATTCAGTGGTGTCCTCTTCTATGTATTTATCTTGATTACATTCTTGACATCATCCTTTGTTAATACTTTTAGTTACTTGGCTTTATAATATTTTCTTTCCTTGATTATTTTTCCTTTTCTATGACCCCCCCTTTTTGTATGTTCGTTTGTTTGTTATTTCATTGTTTTGGATTTCTCTCCCTCTTCTCCACCTACAAAAGATAGGTGTTCCTGTGGCATCTCTTTTCTCTCTCTGCTCACTTTCTGTTGATTATCTTATTTGCCCTCTAAACTTCAATAATGACCTCTTAGATATAGATTCCCTTCCCTGATGCCGAGGATGTCATTTCTAACCTCCTGTAGACATTTCCAGAAATATAACATAAAAGTACTTCAAACCTAAGGTGATTTTAATTTATTATCTAAATTGGGTCACGATGGAGGATTAAAGAGGGTACTATTAATAATTAGCAGATGTGAACCTCTGCTGTGCTTATGGCCACCCATTCAAACCCAGTATTTATAATACACTCTGAATTCTTCTCTTCAATTGTTTTCCATCTTTATTAATTGCCTTGCCAACGTTCTGCTTACCTGTGCTAGAAATCTAAAATCTTCTTCATCTTCAACATCCTACTCTTTGCTATTAATATATCTTTTGAATTAGAACTTTTTTAAAAAAAAAAAAACAAAAAACCAATCCACTGGCAATGCACCATTCATGCTCTTATATCCTCTGGAATACTGCACAGCCTTCTAACTTGTCTTCTTGCTTCCAGTTTCTCCTCATTCATTCTTAAGGCAATATTTTTTATTCCTATAAAATGTTCCTCAAGTGCACTGATTGTTTATACACCTGCTCAAAAATAACTGCCAAAGAATATGAATGCAGACTTCTCAGCTTGGAATTCAACACACTACAAAGCCTAACATTAAAAAAAAAAAAAACAAAAAAAAAACTCTTCTAGTCTTACCTCCTTCAAGGACCCTGCATTTCACCTTAACCAAACACCTCCTAAATCAGTGATCCTCAACCACATCAGAATCACCTTTGGGATTTTAAAAAGTAGAAATGCTCAGCCTTAACCTGGGAGATGTTAATTTAGTAAGTCTATATCGTGGCCTGGTTATCTTAATAAAAACCTCCCCAAGTGATTCTGACCAAAGCCAGGGCTAAGAAGCATTGCCCACTCTCCTATCTCTGTGATTTTTTTTCACCATTTTCTCTCCATGGCTGGTATCTGCTTTTCTTGCTTTCTCTTTAAATTCCTTTTTACGGTTCAACACCAGGCCTTAATTTTATGTCTTTCATGAGGTCTTCTTCGATCCTTCTGAACAGATGTAATTATTGCGTGCTCCCCTATACTGCAACAGCTGTAAACTTTCTTTAGATTGTATGTTTATGCCTTACATCCTCTAGACAGCATGCTTCTTGAAGGCAAGGCTTCTTCTGTTTATAATATAAAAGACACTTAGGAAAAGTCATTGGCTTGTTAAGACTATTGGTGGAGAACTTTGAAGTTCTTAAGAAAGTGATTGATAAATGTGAAGGTTTTTTTTTTTTTCGCTAATTTAACCAGAAGTCCCAAAACAGAAAGTACAGTAGTTGTAATTCCAAGACTATGCTAAATTAAGATTTGCTGATCATGCTAAGTAGGAGAAAGGAATTAGAATTTTAAATGCCACTACTGTTTTCAGCAGCAGATGAGCTAATATTAAATTCAGTGGTGGATTCGTTCCTTTAACACCCACTCTTCAGGTGGTTTAGAGCATGTAGGTCTCTTTGGATTCCTCATGAAAACTGTCATGTTGGCATGTAGCTACAAAATGTGTTTTAGTCAGAAACTGTAGTTAGTAAAGCAGAGTTTTTTACTAGTTCCTTTGGCACAGGGGAATACTTTTAATAAATCGCCCTTGCTGAAAGACAGAGCACAGTGTTATGTTTAATAGGGAATGAGAGTAAGTGCAGTGATTTAATACAGTTACAAGTAGCTGCATCTACAGTTTTTGATTTTTGTTAAACATTCAGCAAGGGAGTGATTTTTCCCTCAATTTTTTTTCTAGCTTTCCCAGTTGTATTCTTGTTGAATCTATATGCTATATATTTAGGATTGGATATTTTTTCCTATACTTTTCTGTCAGTACCTGATTTGGAGTTTAGTTTCATCCATAAAAATAATGAACATTTAGTTTGGGACATATAGAAATGTGTGTATAATTTATTCAGTGTATTTAAGGTCTTGATATTCTACTGAAAAGAAAAATATATATATATATATTTGCAAAGCATCTGGATTTCATAGCAAGCCTAGGTAAAGAATAAACTTTTACCCCCTTGGTGCTCTTTGTATTTGGTGGTATAAAACATGTTTCTGGTTTATTCCAGGTAAAATAATCAAAAGGTATATATGAGAACATACATAAAACTTTCTGTGCTCATGAAAGGTATACTAACTAGAAAATGTCAATATAATCTCTTGATTTTTGGCTTGTTATAAACCACAGGTTTATAAGACTTTATGGAACTATCTAGTCCTTTTCCTGACTTTTGGTAGAACTATAACTTGAACTACTCAAAACCTTTAGTAGCAAAGTCAAAATTCCTTTAGAAAATGTTCCACACATTCAATGTTAATCACATTTGTCTTTGTTAAGTTGTTCCCAGAAGACAACCATCCTACATAACAGGAAGTCAAAAGAGAAAGTGTTGGGAGACATTTTGAAGGTGACATATGAATAATGACTAAGATTTCATAGTCAGTTGGAGATATCTCTTTGTCAGAGTAGTAGAAGCAGTAATATCTATAAAATCTCTGGGAACACATGACAGACTTTTGTTGACCATAATAGTAGTAACTTATATTTTATAGAACATTATACAGTTTTCATGCACATCATCTTATTTAACCCTGACAAGAACACTGTGAGGTGAGTGGTACTACCTCATTTAACAGATATGGAAACTGAGCTAGGAAGGGTAAGTGGTCTGGTTTTAAGTATATACTTACCAAGTGGTAGATCTGAGATTTCAAAATCTTTTGAAGTTGTGTGTGGAAAAACAAACTTAAGGTGTTTTTTCTATTCTCTTACTCAACAATAATCAACATATAAGACTTCTGTGACCAAATGTCTGGGGGATTCTCCCCACACACCAAGCAAGCAATCAGTTCTGCAGCAGACACCAGCTGGGAGTCCTCTAATTCAATTCAATTCTGACACTATCTGCCTGGAGACAGCATTAATTCCCATAGGTTGGGGGCTCAGTCCCACAAGACTGCTCCCTCACCCCCACCCCTTTAGATGCCAGTTGCAAGTCTGGGCCTCTGGAACTTTTGACCAACTAGCCTCAAGTTGGGGTTCCCATGACCCCTTCTTTGGGTTTGATTAATATGCTAGAGTGGCTCACAACTCAAGGAAACACATTTACTGATTTATTATAAAGGATATTACAAAGGATACAAATGAAGAGATGCATAGGGCGAGGTGTGGGGGTATGAAGAACTTCCATGCTCTCTCCAGCATGCTACCCAACAGGAACCCCTCCTTGTTTGGCTATCCATATGCTCTCTGAACCCTGGCCTTTTGGGGTTTTATGGAGGCTTTATTATGTAGGCATTATTGATTAAGTTGGCCATTGGTGATAGACTTAACCTTTAGCCCCTCTGCCCTCCTCTGAGGTTAGGTGGGCTCAAAGTCCCCAGGCTCTAGTCCTGCCTCGGTCTTTCCAGTGACCAGCCCCCATCCTGAAGCAACCTAGGGGCTGGCAGCCATCAGTCAACTCTTTAGCATACAAAGATATCCCTTTGGAGATTCTAAGGATTTTAGGAGTTGTATGCCAAGAAATGGGGTCAAAGACCATATATAGATTTTTCACAGTGTCACAGTTGCCAACTCACTCTACTACCAAAAGGCTATTAAAAAAGTTAGTTTTTCGAAGACCACCTTAAGAAGTAACAGAACAGTAGCAGCAGTGAACGTGAGAGGGAAAGACCCTGCAACCATTTTCCATCTATAGAGTGAATAAGTAAAATAAGAAGAAATGAATTTATATGTGAAACACTAAACTCTTCAAAGTAAAATGATACACAACCTCAAGATATTGCTATTTATTTTTTATTCATAGCCAACTTTTATTTTTATGCCTAGAAAAATACATGGGGTGTTTAGGACTAATGTGCTGGGCAATTTGCTACTTAGTGATAGTAATATAATCCCGAAAAAGCAAGCACAATTATCTGTACTTTTTTTTAAGTTTTATTCAGCAATAAGACCATAATTTTTCATATTTAAGGAAGTATGAAAAATTTGTCGAGTTTTAAAAGCTGAATACATGTAGCGTTGGATCAAGGCACATACAAGACTGGCCAAAGGGCGTACAATGCACTTTGGTTTTTGTTAAAAAAAATAAAATCATGGCAACTGAAAAGTGATATGGTTTTTAAACAAGTAATAGCTCACAATTCAGTAGGAAGCTAGAAAGAAATGTTACAAGTTCATTATGTAATATATGGAAAACTGTGACAGTAATGGGCAGTATTCTTGATCATTTTGAAAGTAAATTGAACATTTATGTACAGTGTTAAAACATTTCACATAAACCAGATCGAAATTTGATTTCTAGTAATTATTTTTCTTTTAAATTCTCTCTTACTTAAAATATTACTTTCTCTGGAATGTCGAGGGGAATTGCTTATAGTTACACTACATTTTTAACATATGCATGATTTCTCTTTGATATCTTTATGATAAAAACATCATAAATACTAAAAATTTTGTGTTCAGAATTTACTTTTCAGAAATCAGGAAGGTATAGGCAAAACCAAAATGCAATTCTGGTATTCATGTTCATTACACTATACAAGTCTAAGTTTTCATGTTTTCCTAAGCACATATTTCCCCCCTAACTTGGAAGTACACTTAAAATTATTGTTTTTGTTAAGTCATTTATTCTCAAAGCTTTGTTGACAGTGGCTTTTACAACAGACTTCACACTCCTTTTATGCCAGCTGATGTCCTCAGTTCAGAAGATATGCTTAACTTTCTTAAGAATATCTAATTTGCCTAGAGCAAAAATGGAGATATGCAGCAAGTTTGATATTGCCCATTACTTCACGTTTTGATTTATTGAATACCACTAGGATAATACAAATTTAATAATTGGAACATTATTTCATAACTATTTTTTGAAATTTAATTTTTCTCATTCAGCCTTTCAGCCAGGTTATATTTTTACATTTTATTAATACCAAAGTGAAAAATGGCCTGTGCTTATACTACAAGGATCTCATGTGAACGCAGTCCTGATTGTTCAACACAGCAAGAAAATTCACTTTCACAGTCAACAAGTCATCTTACTCAGTAGAACACAAAGTAAATGGTTTATAACTTCAATATTTGCAAGGAAAATACAGTACAAATTACTAAAAAATACTAAAATATAGAATTGTGTTCAGGCATCTCCACTACATCAATCGCAGCAGTAACCTGAAATTTGAAACTTTTAATAAAAAGTTCTTAAATATAAATTATATGGCAAATGTACAGTACATTGCTTTTTTCAGTCTCTTTTTTTCCAGTGTTTTGCAGTAGAACAGGGTTCCTACCATCACCTTCTTTAGGTTTAAAACACCTGAAACACAGTCTGCTGCAAGTCCTCCAGCATCATGAGTGTGAATGATCTGAGTCTGGAATACCACTGTCTCTGTAACTTCGGTTACTACTGCTTTCACTGTGATTGTTTTTGTACAGATTCATTCCATTAGGAGGAAATATGGTGTGTATTACAAACTCCTCCTTCGAGATGGGTTCATTGCTTATTGGTAACATCTGAAAAGAAGTCTCCCTGATTTCCAGGATAGAGTTGTCCTTCTTAGTGCCAGCTTCTGCATAGTCATCCTTTCTTCTCCTCCCTTTGCTGTATGCACAGTTCCTTGAGAAGAGCGATCCATTCCTATGAACATACCAACACACTAGAGCAAGAAGGGCGATGGTCACCAGGGCCACAGCCCCACCAATAATGGCAGCCAAAGGTAAATTGGGGTTTTTGTAAGGTTCTTTTTCTTGCTCTCGATTGAGAGTGGTTGTAGGGTTGTACATTCGAAGGGGTGCAGTTTCAGTCTCAATACAAACAGGAGTTTCATCAAATAGGTAGAGGTTACTGGTTTCCATGGGAACCATGCATACCTTATAGGGTGAATCAGGCTCCAGGGCTGTGACCAAGTATTCACTGCGTTCCCCTGTTACAATTGTTTCTGTTATAGATCCAAATGCTGGGCTGTGGCCCAGTTTAAGCCAACTTAGTCTTAAAGCAGTCATGGGTAGAGCAAGTTTCCAAGAGATATGAATTGTGTCAGAGGTGACAGACTTCACAGTAATTGTAATTGTTTTTCTTGAGGGACTCCCTGTGGTTCGCTGATCCTTAGTGAGCTTGGGGTTCTTAATATCTGGTTGTTTGGTCACTGGAGCTGGCCACTGTCCTTGGGCAGGATACACTGTATTGGGTATTGCAGTGGTTATCTGAATAGTGCTTACAATCCCACTGTCTTTACAATCAAACAGTTCTGCATTGAGGTCCTTGATAGCCATCCCACGAACTTTTTCTGGGGCTTGGCACATGAGCCCACGCACATTGACCTTCACAGGTAGTGATTGTAACCAGTCACGTACCCATTTCATCTTGCACCCACAATACCAGGGGTTGTTGCGAAGAATCAGTTGGGTTATATTGTCCAAATCGTCAAAGATACCCTGAGGTAAATTACTTAGGTTATTATTGGACATATCAAGTCGATACAGCTGCCTTAGGTAAGAAAAAGCATTTGGGGGCACCTGATTGATGTGGTTATCTTGAAGATAAAGCTTCCTCAGGTTTGTGCCTGGAAGGTTTACTGGTGCAGCAGTTAGAGAATTCCGCACCAGTGACAGTTCTGTTAAGTTAACTAGGTTAAAGAAAACTTTGTCACCTAAACCGTGATTGTTCAACAGGTTTCCATCTAAAACCAGGCGTTTTAGGCTAGTGAGACCTTGAAGAGATGGTGATGAAATAGTAGATATTCGATTATCATCCAAGCGTAGTTCCTCTATAGTCCTGGGCAAACCCCAGGGAATTGTGCTAAGGTGGTTACGGGACAGAAAAAGCAGTCGGAGATAGTTGCTGTCTCGGAATGCTCCCTCTTCGATGCTAACAGCAGAGACAGAGTTGTCATCTAAGTGTAATTCTTCCAGATATGGAATTTTTGAAAGTGAATCATACGTGATAGTCCTTATGTTATTTTCTTGCAAATGTAGCTCTTTTACATACTTTGGGAGGTTGGTAGGAAATTCATCTAAACTGTTGTGGTATAGGAATATTCTTTCTACTTTCAGCAAGTTTTTCAAATCTGAAGGAATCCCAGCATTATTTATTTGGTTGTTCTGAAGGTAGAGAGTTGTAGCATCCTCTGGTATTCCTGTTGGAATGGATGTCAGAGAGCGATCATTACAGTAAATGAAACCCGCATCACAGCGACACACAGATGGACAGGATTTAGCCATAACTGACAGAGGTGCCACTTGAAGGAACAGCCCAATTTTAGTCCCGATGAGGAAGATGCTCCAGGCTGGGCTGATCATGGTCAGCAGTGTTGAGGTCTTTATAGAAGGTAGCTTCCGTTGCTTCAGAACCCTAAAATGAAGTGAGTAAAAAAAGACAGAAAACAATCAGACCGGCATATTGAAAATAGTCTTCAAAACAGATGTGGAAACTAAAA